TGTGATTGGTGGATTTTCTGGCTGTGGATATGCCATTTTTATTTTTTTATGACTGGATCTGGTCACTTGATGCGTTTTAGCAATTTTTGTTTACTCTCTGTCAGGATTACTGTTTGATACCAATAAAATAAATACTCAAAAAGAAAGGAATGCACACCAACTGATACAATAGTATCTATCTATCTATCTATATATATTTTTATAATACAAATCCAAATCATACATACAAAAATGTAACAATGTAACAGTGACCAAATAGGCAAAAAAAGCTAAACCATATATTTACCAAATTCCACAAGCCTATATGGGCAGAAACACGAGTCACAAACACTCCCCCAACGTTTCGGCTCCTCCTGGTAGCCTTTATCAAGGGTAGCTATATCATAGCATCATCCAGGAACCCATCATATACACATATACAAATTACTAATTACTTACAGCTGATGGCCATCAGTGATGCCACAGAGAGCCGAGACCGGAAGTGACATCATCACTTCAGATCATAGCCCTATGTAAAGAATATAACAGCAACAAATACATTATATATTCCCAATGTTATTTTTAAACAAGTTCTATCATTGGTATAAAGATATCCTATTATTGTATAATCCATAAATATTCTCATTAGCATGAATGTAACGCGCATGCGCAATATAAATATGTGCGGTCGCCATACCATCTATTGGCACACTCAATATAACCCAATAGATATACTAGGCACAAGGATGATGTATATACAATAACCAAACAAAAAAAACCAAAGACGCATTCACCTTACAACGGCCAGCCGATTACACCGGAACTCCCCTCTTACGGAAGCCTCCGTGATCCACACCTAATAGAAAGTCGCTTCAAAAAAGGCGTTGCGCCGCCCGCGCATGCGCACACCCCAAACTAAAAGAATACATGCAAAATGTTAACACCATAATGACAAAATAATAACACCAAAACAGTGTACATTGTCATTATTTTGTCATTATGGTGGAGGTAGTTTTCACTATTAATAGTCATTATTATTATATATCTTTTTCGCTATACTACAGGACCATTTGTACACTTATTATGCCATATTATAAGTAATTTATACACTTATGATATTTCCCCTTTAAGATTTGGTCTGCGTGTTAACATTTTGCATGTATTCTTTTAGTTTGGGGTGTGCACATGCGCGGGCGGCGCGGCGCTTTTTTTGATGCGACTTTCTATTAGGTGTGGATCACGGAGGCTTCCAGTAAGAGGGGAGCTCCGGTGTAATCGGCTGGCCGTTGTAAGGTGAATGCGTCTTAGTTTTTTTTGTTTGTGCCTAGTATATCTATTGGGTTATATGGAGTGTGCCAATAGATGGATGTTTATAATGCCAATAGATGGTATGGCGACCGCACATATTTATATTGCGCATGCGCGTTACATTCATGCTAATGAGAATATTTATGGATTATACAATAATAGGATATCTTTATACCAATGGTAGAACTTGTTTAAGAATAACATTGGGAATATATAATGTATTTGTTGCTGTTATATTCTTTACATAGGGCTATGATCTGAAGTGATGATGTCACTTCCGGTCTCGGCTCTCTGTGGCATCACTGATGGCCATCAGCTGTAAGTAATTAGTAATTTGTATATGTGTATATGATGGGTTCCTGGATGATGCTATGATATAGCTACCCTTGATAAAGGCTACCAGGAGGAGCCGAAACGTTGAGGAACTGTTTGTGACTCGTGTTTCTGCCCATATAGGCTTGTGGAATTTGGTAAATATATGGTTTAGCTTTTTTTGCCTATTTGGTCACTGTTACATTGTTACATTTTTGTATGTATGATTTGGATTTGTATTATAAAAATATATATAGATAGATAGATACTATTGTATCAGTTGGTGTGCATTCCTATCTTTTTGAGTATTTATTTTATTGGTATTGGAGGGAGTACCTTGTTGGAATAGCACCCATAATTGTGGTGGTGATTATATTAAGTGTCTCTCCACATGTTACATTTTGTATGAGGATTACTGTTTGATCCAGCACGTAGAACTGTACAGCATGGATGACAAATAAGTAACGTATGGCCGGATTTAACGTACAAAGAATAGTCAAAAATACTAGCCGAGGTCAGGGAACACAGAAAGGGACACAGCGATGAGGAAAGCCAGGAGTCAGGATAGCAGAATATAGAGAAGTCAATAAACAAAGCCAAAGTCAAAAACCAGATAGAAAATTATAAACAGGAACGCGCTCTCGGACAACCACAAGGGAAACTACGACAGGGCACTGAGCAGGCTGAGAACTGGGCCTAAATACCCCTCCTTTCTTTCTGATAGGCTGTAACCGGCCTTTGACCCCAAAGTCAGTTACCAGGTTTCATTTGCATAATTGCTGCTCAGCATTAACCCTTCTGTGGATTAGGTTGCTGCTCGGCACAACTTTTCCTGTGTGGACAGTAAATGTCATTAACCACTTTTCTATAAGCGGATGAATACATGACACCAGGTTTCATTTGCACAATTACTGCTCAGCATTAAACCTTCTGTGGATTAGGTTGCTGCTCGGCACAACTTTTCCTGTGTGGACAGTAAATGTCATTAACCACATTTCTATAAGCGGATGAATACGTGACATTACCCCCCACCTGAAGAACGCCCACCGGGCGGACAGGACCAGGCTTGAGAGGAAATTTAGCGTGAAAAGCGCGGATCTTACGGCCCGCATGCAGGTCAGGAGCCGAAACCCAAGAACGATCAGCAGGACCGTAACCTTTCCAAACAACCAAGTACTGTAAAGTGCCCCGAGAAAACCTAGAATCCACGATAGAAGATACCTCATACTCTTCCTGACCACCCACCACCACCGGAGGGGGAGGAACACAAGGAACAGTATATCTATTGCAGACAAGAGGTTTGAGTAAGGACACATGAAAAGTGTTGGGAATCCCTAAAGATGCAGGAAGAGCCAGAGAGTAAGACACTGGATTGATCCTACGAAGCACTCTATAGGGACCAAGGAATCTGGGGCAAACTTCATGCTAGGGACCTTAAGCTTGATGTTGCGAGATGACAACCAAACCCGGTCCCCCACTTGGTACACCGGGTTGGCACTCCTACGCTTATCAGCAAAATGTTTGAAGCGTTCAGCAGCAGCCCCTAGAGCAGTTTGAACCTTAACCCAGGTATCCCGAATGGAGGCCAGACGCTCATCCAGAGCAGGAATGGCAGTATCAGAAAATACCGCAGGGAGAACCGTAGGATGCCTACCATTATTGACAAAAAATGGACTGTGCCCAGAGGAGTCATGAACAGCATTGTTTCTAGCGAACTCGGCCCACGGGAGTAGTTCGGACCAATTGTCTTGTGTGCTATTAATAAAACAACGCAAATAAACTTCTAATGACTGGTTAGCCCTCTCAGCTGTACCATTGGTCTGTGGATAGTAGGAGGAGGAGAAGGAGAGATCAATCCCCAATTGTTTACTGAACGCCCTCCAGAACCTGGACACAAACTGAGAGCCCCTATCAGACACAATATTGTGGGGGATGCCATGCAAACGGACAATTTCACGTATGAAAATTAGGACCAAATCTTGCGAAGATGGCAACTTCTTGAGAGGAATGAAGTGAGCCATCTTAGAAAATCGGTCTACAACCATGAGAATAGTAGTGAACCCAGCAGAGCTAGGAAGCTCAACAATAAAGTCCATGGATAAGTGGATAATGGATAATCTTGCACCAGCTGGTGAGGATGACTTTCTTATGTGCCCTTTGCTCAAGGATTCTTTGATGTATTCCTCCATTATTTTACTCTCCTGGGGAGATAAGGCATAAACTGCCCCCCTTAGGTGGCATAGCGCCTGGAAACAGGTTAATGGCACAGTCATATGCTCTGTGGGGAGGCAATACATCGGATTGAGCCTTGTTAAACACCTCCTGAAGTTCTTGGTATTGTATGGGAATTCCAGGAGTTTGGGGAGTGGTAGTGGGAAGGTCAATAGTATCCAATCTCTTTAGTACTGGTTCTATACATCTCCCCATACACTCTTTACCCCATTCTAATATCTCCCCATTAGCCCAGTCAATATAAGGATTGTGCTTACTCAGCCACGGAAACCCTAATATGATAGGACATGATGGAGAAGTAATAACCTGAAACGTCATCTCCTCCCTATGGGAGGCCCCAATGGAGATCGTAATAGGGACAGTTTCGTGGGTTATAAGCGGTTGTGTGAGTGGTCTACCATCAATAGCCTCTACAGCTAGCGGCGTAGGTCTCTCCCTGACCGGTATCTCATTACCCCTAATAAACTGGACATCAATAAAATTTCCAGCAGCACCTGAGTCCATTAGGGCACTGCAAGAAAACTTCTTGTTATCAAGGGAAATAGATACCTCAAGGAGGAATCTACTTTTGTTTTTGTTAGAGGACAACTCCATCACACCTAAGATCTGTCCCCTTAAGGTTCTTAGGTGCGGAAGTTTTCCGGACGCACTGGACAATTAGTTATCATATGTCCCTTTCTACCGCAATATAGGCATAACCCCTCCCTTCTCCTATACTGTTTTTCGGCCTCTGACAGTCTAGTGACCCCCAACTGCATAGGTTTGGGTTCAGACTGTACAGGGAGGTTAGACAAAACAGGTTTAGAGAATTGAGGTGCTAGGGACATAGCCGTACGTCTGGTCTTGCTTCTGGTGACTTCTCTGAGTCTTAACCTATTATCAATATGCATGACAAACGTAATAAATTCATTAAGACTCTTAGGTAATTCTTTAGCGGCTATCTCATCTAGTATAGTCTCTGAGAGACCCTTTTTGAATGTTGAGATTGACCCATTGTTAGTCCAGTCTACCTCGGAAGCTAAGGTACGGAATTCAATAGCATAATCCGAGATAGACCGGTTACCTTGTCTGATGTGCATTAGGGCAGTGGAGGCGTCATCCTCTCTACCCAATGGCTCAAACGTGAGCTTGAATTCGGCAAGGAATTCCTGGTAATTATGAGCTATGCTCCGATTACTCTCCCACAACGGATTAGCCCAGGCAAGGGCCTTGCCCTTTAATTGATTCATTAGATAACCAATTCTTGCTCTGTCCGTGGGGAATGACCCTGGTGAGGCCTCAAAATGGTACTCCACCTGATTAAGAAAACCCCTGCATTCCTGGATATTGCCATCAAACTGTAGGGATGGTGATAAGGAGATGCTAGGAGTCCTATTAACAGGGTAGAGGTGCTATAGGAGGAGACGCTGCAGGCTGCAGATGCTCCGTTCTAGCGAGAAGCGTACTTAAAGCCTGAGTGAATTGATCCATGTGGTGATCATTCTCCTCTAATTTCCTCTCGCAAGCAGCTATGTGCTGACACAGTTCTACAGGATCTATGGCCATGTCGTAATGTCAGGATTACTGTTTGATCCAGCACGTAGAACTGTACAGCACGGATGACAAATAAGTAACGTATTACCGGTCCTTAGAATGGCCGGATTTAACGTATATGTACCCGTATATACGACTTCTACCGAGTATAAGTCGACCCGAATATAAGCCGAGGCCCCTAAATTTACCACAAAATACTGGGAAAACTTATTGACTTGAGTATAAGACTAGGGTGGGAAATGCAGCAGCTACCGGTAAATTTCTAAATAAAATTAGATCCCAATAAAATTACATTAATTGAATATTTATTTACAGTGTGTGTATATAATGAATGCAGTGTGTGTGTAGTCAG